ATTTGTTTTATCTGCTTTTTCATTTTATTTTTTTTTTTTTGCGATATTCAAGTACCAATGAAAGCCTCTGACGTGATGACGACATTTTAAAATGTATTAGTGAGTCTGTGTGCGTAGGGTTATCGAAATCAACACTTCCAAATGGGGGACTTTCAAAAAGGATTGATGTCACTTTTTTTTTTACATTTTTGTTTTCCATACCAAACATTTCAAAAAGATAGGCGAAAAAAAAACTTACAAGAATGAAGTGACAAATAAATTAATCTTTTTTTCAGGCAGAGTTAAAACGAGTTTATACAGAATTACGGATGTATAAGCTAAAAAATCTGTATCAAGATAATCCGCATATCAGTAAGGGTAAAGGCGGAAAAAGAAAGACGGAAAAAACGAAAATCCGTCGTACCTCGACTCCTTCTTCAAATTCACCAAAAGTCTGTTCTTTAACTGCTTGTTGTGTTCCGTTTTTGTTCAACTAGCCTATGATATTAAATTAATGTTAAGTGTTTAATTTATTCGGTAAATTTAGAGAAAATACGTACTGTATAACAAATTTACCAAAAACCTGATACTGAATGAAAAACAGTAATAATTTTTCTATATTTCAGACGAAGCATATCGAAGAAGATGAAAAAAGTGATCCAACGGTTGAATCTGCACCACATAACGTTTACTTATCGACATATAAACTGCAGATTGAGCCGCAGCAATCAATTCGTGTTTGATAGATATTTATTGATTTTATTGATATTGCAAAAATGTGTTCGAACGTGTGTTGTTAAATTTTTTAAGCCAAACATTTCTTGGTGTCCTGAGAATGAATTTTTCTTTTTCCATTTTTTTCTTTTTCTGTGAACTTCTATATTCGAAAGACTGCAACCAAAATAGTCCCGACCACACTACAAAATTTTGCTCGCTCCAACAAGTTTATGAGCAGGAAAAAACGACTGTCAGGGGAAATCACTTCTTCAATTAATCGAAATAAGTCCAGCTGAAACGAATTTACTCCCAAAAACTTACTCGTTTTCATGACACCAATCAAAAATTTGTTCGGGTGCACCGATTCTTTGTTATGCTCTATTTGTACTCTTGTCCTTTCAAAGATCCAAGGAAAAACACACACTCCTCTTTGGTTCTAAATATCTAAATAAAACCATTAGTGCATCTCAAAATCCATCTAAACAACCGAGTTTTTCCTTTGATCCCAACTGTTTACCTTAGATCATACTGTCTAAACTGCGTTCGATTAAAACTCTTTTCAACAGTCTCTTCCCGCCTCACATCCCACGAAAAACCAAAATAATGCTGCCACATCATAAAATAACAGCTCTCCACAAAAAGCTTCTAACCCTAAGTACACTAACGCCACACCTGCGAGTTCCTTGATATGAATCAAAAAAAAAAAAAATTTGCAATTGATTTCCGTTTAAAATCACAGTGAACAACTCCAAAAAACTTCTGAGTTTCTTAACAAAAATTTATAAATGTGGAAATGAAGGCGACAGAAGAACCCAACAATTATTTTATATCATCAATAACAATTCCAAATGAAAGATTCCGGACAGAAGTAAAAGCGTTCAGGTCACTTGTTTTTCAAGCTCTGTTCTGCATGCCTGGCCTAGGGAAACGATCGCCACCTGCACGTTGGCCAAACCTTGGAGGGGGGTTACGATCCTTTCTGGCTTCGCGGGAACGGTTGCGTACTACTTTGCTATGAATTGCACAAGAAACGCAATAGTGTAGCTTGTGATATAGTTTTGGCAAAGGATATGCTAAAATTAAGAAATATTATACTCACTTTTAACAGAAGAAACAGATGCGAAGTACAGTTATGGAGTTTAAAGCCCCAATACATAGCAAACGAAAATGCTCAATAGCAAAGACAAGGCGTTATCAACTTACGCTGATAAACTGAGACCAATTATTATGACAGAAACGATCATCAGAAATGTACAATCACTCTACCTTCACGCACCAATCTGGTTCAAGTACAATTCAAGCAATAATAAGTAGACTAGTACTATTGCACACCATCAAAATCAGCTGAAGGAAAGACCCAAAAAGAAAGCGCGACAAATAAAAGCTACTTTTGATCCTCTTGGCAATTATACATAACAAAATAAATTACCAATTTCTTTTTACGATAGACATTTCCATAAATTCAATAGAGTTCTTCTAATGTTCAACATTTCAAATACTGCGCACCAATGGTGACTTTTTTGCTTTCAAAAAGTTCTTTAAAAAGTATAGTGAAGTTAAAATATGGGCACAAAATAAAATTAAGAGGCAAACGAAAAAAAGCTTTTAAGCAGCGTTCAGAGAAATTAACGCAAAAAGAAGAAACTGCGTAACTCTGATCTCTCCCAACGCTCACTCTCCAAACAATGACAAGACAAGGCTCCTACAAAAAATAAAAATTAACTCACATTCATAAGCAGAGGCATCCGAGATATCTCTCACAGCAGCAGCTTCGACAATATTCCTTACTACAAACTTTTTGATTGCCTTATCTTTTGGAGCACAACGTCCACAGTTAGTGCAACGAATTGCTCGAACATGTCCACGGCCCTTCTTATTGCGTCCATGATTTCTTCGCTTGATCGTCATCTTTGATAGTGACTCTTCCTTTTTTCAACCCTAAGAGTAGCCTATCAAACCGGTACGTTGCTTAAAAAAATTAGGTCTGGAGCTCGCCAGAATACAAAAATAAAAAAAATTACATTAGAAACTTTTTAAAACTGCATGTATTCTAGAAAACATGGTCTTGTTTTAGAAAAAAACCCAAAACCCTACATAAACTGAAGCAATATTAAGCAATTTCTCAAGTTCTTTGATGAAACAAAAACCAAAACTAACAGGGCTTAATACTTGAGAAGCAACCTTGCAAGACAACAAAAATGGCTTAAAAAGCGGCTACAACAGGACAAGGCTGCTGAAAGTAAGTTTTCTACACCCTCCATTAGGCGTCCTTACTACTTTTTCAAACAACTTCAAAAAAACTTTAAAAAGAAGAAACACGTGCTGAAAACTAAAAAGTTCATGTACATAAAACTCCAGAAATATCAAATAATTTCTAAAAAATTCTGGTTCATCACTTCCAGAAAATGAAAATAAAAATTTAAATAAATAAACAAATACATAACTGCAAAGTAAACAAATACATAACTGCACAAGTTACTGCAATAGTTAAGTAAGAACCTAGAGGAAAAAGCAGGAAGAAGTTAAACCTTTGCTAATAAGCAAACTATAACTGATGGAAAATGGCCTTCTTTTTCCAAAAATCAAGAAAAAAGGGCTTGAAAAACTGTTGCGTATCCGATTCTACACCGAACCTTAAATTTCAATATTTTTTTGCATCGCCCAGAAATAATATGACTATAATGCTGTTATTTTTAGCACAATTGTTATTTTTAATAAGTACGGTAAAGCGCCAGTTTAAAAACGTAATTTGACTTGTAATGTCTGCCAAGCAAGTTTGCTGACTTATTTATCTGCGCTTTGACGGCTTTGTTATGGAGAGCAGCAGAATCATAAGCTGACAACCAGGTACATTATTTATTTAAATGATATTTTGGAGATGTCTAAAAAACATCAGGAATGTTTAAGATTCATTATTTTTTTGCTATACTTGGAAATAGTGCGAAACCGATTCGCTACGAATTCAACCGGGTTCAGAAAACTACCACCATT